TCAGTAGACTCTGGAAAAAAAGCATTTGTCAAAATCCCACACACCTCATGGTTAAAAAAAACAAACACCTAAACACTTGATAAATGTAATTTGTGAAAACCTCATAGCTAAAATCATACCTTATGATGAGGGAGTAAATGTGTTTTCTCTACAACGAGAAATAAGGCAAGAATATCTGCTCTTACCATTTATTTTCAGCTTTGTATTAGAGATTCTTGTAGGGCAATTAGGCAAGAAAAAGAAATCAAGTGCCTCTAGATTGGAAAAAAAGAAGTGAAAATCTCAATTTGTAGATTATATGCTTTTGTTTGTAGACAGCCATAAGGAATCCACTAATAAATGTCTTCAGCAAGGTTGCAGTGTACACATTCAATATATTAAAATCAATTTTATTTTTAAACATTAGCAATGAACAATTTGAATATGAAACTAAAAAAATTTTATTTAAATAGTCTCAAAAAGGACAAAATTCTTAGGAGTACTTTTTTTTCCAATTTAAAACTTGTACTCTGAAAACAAAACATTGTTTCGTTTTGAAAGCTTTGAAAAGTTATAAATAAACTGAACATGTGAAAGAGCTCACATGTTCATGGATCAGAATAGAAGACAAAAAATTGTCAAGATGGTAATCTACAAGTTAACCTGAAGACTCAACACAGTTCTTGTTAAGATTGCAAGTGGTATTTTTGCTACCACTTGGGACAGCAATTTACTACAAAGTTAAAAAGATAGTGGTACTGGCATAAGTATAGACATATAGATCAATGTAATAGAGTGGAGGGTCCAGATGTTTAACATTTATGGTCAATGAGACAACAAAAGTTGCTGGGACAACTGGTTATTTACTTGAAAAAGAATAAAGCTGAACCTGTATTTCACACCATCCACACAAATAAATTAAAAATGAACTAAATAGGAAGGCTAAAACTATACAGTGCTTAGAGGAGTATATCTAAGTACACTCGATTTCTTCAAGAATGTGGGGATTAGGGGTGCCAACTTCCCCTCCACTCCTACAAAGTTGAAAATTTGCATATAACTTTTGACTACCAAAAAATTGTCTCAAGCCATATGGGTAACATAAACAATTGATTAATACCTGTTTTACATATTATATGCATTATATACTGTATTAGTACAATAAAGTAAACTAGATAAATGAAAATGTTATTAAGAAAATCACACGGAAGAAAAAATTTATTTAAAGTACTGCAGTGTATTTATCAATACAGTAAATTTATGTCATCTGTTTTTAAGATAAAGCATCTGTTAGTACCTACATTATTGGGAACCACTCTGCCTGGTTTCAGGAGTTGTAATTGCCCCCTATGGCTAAGGTTGAGTGAGCAACCTCAGGTCTGTGAGCCACTAAGGAGACAAAGCTTGTCTATGGCAGCAGTGCTGCCTGTGCTTCATCCCCTGCCCCCAATGCTTGGTCAGTTAGTCAGAGATGGGTGGGTACAGCCCTTCAGAGAAGAGGCAACCTAAGCCAGACATGATCACTTGGGAGGCCATCAAGGAAGGACTCCGGGGGCTGCAACAAAGAGGGAGTGATGGACCCTTGCCCCCCAGCTATTCTGACATAACCCGAGTCCCCATTTCCATCTGAGAGAAGTGCTTCCTGGCTCTAATCCACTTAAGCCTAAAAACCTATGACGGGGAAGGTGGTGCAGCCCCTCTCCAGCTAGAGCGGGTTCCGGGGTGATTGGGCATAAGAAATAAAGAAATAATTCACAAAATCCTGTGAAACCTGCTTTGATAAGAGTGCTTTCATTCATATGATAAGGGTCAAAGCAGGGAATGAGTATGTCTCCCAAAGTTTCTGCAACCCCCTTACCTGACAGACGCTGACTCAGACCAAGCCCTTAGATTTCTTTGAAATGTTATCTACTGTTTGATTTTTGCCGCCTGACATTGATTGATGTGCTTTACCTGTATTCCTATGTATTACAACCCAATAATAAAAGCCATTGAGGAAGGGGCTGTTGGTTTTTTTCTCCTCTGAGAGATTGACCACCTCTCCTCACCAAGCAGGTCATGTCTTGGTAGTTTCACTTTCATCTGTGGCAGACGGGGGTTGGGGGGACTTCGTGGGCAAGTTGCCCTCACACTACATCAATATTGTCTTACAATACAAAACATTGTAGATGTTATACATATTATTAACATGACATAAAAAATAAAAGTGAAAAATTCATATTTGTTTACAAAGATTTATGCATTGATAACAAAGATGCAGTAATATGATTGCTTTATGGTAGCCTAGTGTAGTAAATACAATTGCTTCACAATAGACTAGCCTATACCTAATGAAGGAAGAGAGAAGAGAGGGAAAGAGGCACATACTGTACAGTAATGACATCCTTTAAAAGCAAAGTTGTAAAACAAAACTAGCATGTTAATTTTATATATCACTCACCTAAACATATGTAAGGATAGGCTATCCACTTCCATACAAGTCTTGCACAAAGTGTTTTACATGATGAATACTTAGTGATTATGATGATGATGTAAAAATGTCTTATACAGTTGCCATACAGTCATTAGAGTTTCATACAAACTTACCTGTGAACACAGCAGATAACTTATTAACTGTACAGCATGACAGTTACTTAATATCCATTAAGTGGAAGTGAATAATTTTCATTCCTATCATCTTCACATTGAATAGGCTAAGAAGGAGGAGGAAGAGAAGGCATTGGTCTTGCTATCTCAATAGTAGCAAAGGCAGAAGAGGTGGAGGAGGTGGAAGGGAAGGCAGGAGAGCCAGGCATACTTAGTGTAACTTTACAAAAATACATTGTAATTGTATATTTTTGTAATTTTTGTATGACTTTTTGCTTTTCCATGTCTCTAAAAATATTTCTATATACTTTTAATCCTTCCTCTGTTTTTTTTCTTTTTAATATTCGTGCTTGTATCATAAAAGTGTCCTCATAAAAGGGCCCATGTCATAAAAGAAGTCAAAAACAGTCTTGAATTAACAGAACCCTTCTCCTAAATTGCCTAACAGCAGTTTGTTTTCTGACACTACTTTTCCTATATGTTCTTCCTCATCATCTGGCACTAGTTCAGATGTACTCATCTCTATCAAGATGTTTTCTGTTAATTCCTCTTGTGTGGTGCCTACTAGCTCTTGAACATCTCTAAGATGTATATCTTGAAACCTTCTACCACCCTGCTTTTTTTTTTCTTCTTGCCATGTCCACAGATCTCTTTCATGGTTTCATTGATTGTCTCTGTAAAAATACTGTGAAGTTATGCACAACATCTGGACATTTTTCTCCAGCAGGAGTTTATTATTTTGGGCTTGATGACTTTATAACAATAATGACATCTCCAATGGTGTCATCCTTCTAGACTTTCATGATGTTGTATCAGGGTTCTCTTTCATAGTGTTCACAATCCTTTCCATGAAGTACTGTGTGTAATGAGCCTTAAAGGTCCTTGTGACTCTCTGATAGGCTGAATTAGAAACATTGTGTTTGGGGTCAAGTAGATCACTTTGATGCTTTTGATATTGAACTTGTGGGATTCTGGGTAGCGAGAGTCATTCATTGTCCAATATCAAAAGAACTTTAAAAGGCAGTCTCTTACTAGCAAGGTGCTCTCTTCAGGGAAAACGTTGATGGAACCAATCCAGAAAAAAAGTTCTTATCCAGGCTTGTGAGTAAAGTCCTTATATTTACTCCTACTTACTTTATTTTTCTAGTAGCTATAGCTAGTGGATTTTTTTCCTATTTCAGTTTCTGATATTTCATTGTTGGTGTACAAAAATTGCTTCAATTTCTGAAGATTGATTTGTATCCCACTGTTTTGCAAAATTCATTTATTGGATTGAGTAGTTTTCTGGGGAAGTCTATAGGGTTTTCTGTGTACACTATCATGTCATCTGCAAACAGTGACAGTTTTATTTCCTAGTTTCTAATTTTAGTTGTATATTTACATAGCATTATTCTTAACACCCAAATATTGGATACAACCCAAAACGCCTATTAGCTGATAATTAGATAAACAATATTTATTCAGCAGTGAAAAAGAATGAAGTATTAATACATCCTAGAATATGGGTGAAGTTTGAAAACATTATGCTAAGTGCAAGAAGCCAGCCACAAAAATTATGCATATATGATTCTATTTATGTAACGTGTCCAGAATATGTAAAATATAAACAGAAAGTAGATTACTGTTTGCCTCATTCCAACAGGAAAAGGAGAATTTGGGAGTGATGCCTAAGAGTAAAGGGTCCCTTTTGAAGTGATGAAAATGTTCTAAAAAAAGATTGTGATGGTTGTACAATTTTGTGAACATAGTAAAAACCAGTAAGTTTTAGACATTAAATGGGTGAATTCTGTGGTATGTAAATTATATCTTAGTAAAGCTATTAAAAAGATTTACCTGCCTTTCTAAGAATATGTTTAGTATCTGTTCTCTAGTTTAAGTTCAAGACCCCGACCTTTACAAAGTTTTTGCTGATTAATAGTAATTTATTTGATTAATCCTATTATAATTATACACATGTAATTTAGTACTGCTGTTGGTTGTGTTTTTCTCTATTATTTAATAGCCATTTGTGTGTAGAGATTATGCTTCATGTCCATTATGAATATTAACTATCTCAATGCCATACTGATGATAGATAACCTCTGGAAACCCAAATTTTCATGTATTATTTAGTGATTCCTATTTTTAAAAAATATTTATTTATTTTTAGAAAGAGGGGAAGTGAAGGAGAAAGAGAGGGGGAGAAACATCAATGTTTGGTTGCTTCTCAAGTGTCCCTTATTGGGGACTTGGTCCACAACCCAGGCATGTGTCCTGGAGTGGGAATTCAGATTTCAGAGGCAAACACATAAAGTTTAGGGTTAGACAAATTAAGCACTAAAATGAGTTCTGGGGTTGTCTGGAAGATTGATATGGGCCAGAGTTGTTCAGGAGATTTTTGTGGAGGAATGAGACTTTCAGATAGGCTTGCTAAAAAAGTTATTTTTGTTTTTTAGGTACTAAACTCAAAACATGAACAATGATATATATTACCGATGTTCAAGTCTGATTTGGCTTGAACTATTTAATATAATTGCCTATTACATATTCCCGAGGATTTAGAAAAGTCAAAGTAATGGATAACAGAAAAGATCCTCCATTCTTCAATGAAGATAATGTGGGACCATTTTACTACAAAATTCCTTTCTATGATACCATGGAGCTCTTCATTGAAACATTGACTGGAACATGTTTTGAACTGAGAGTTTCACCCTTGGAAGCTGTTATTTCTGTGAAAGCAAAAATTCAAAGATTGGAAGGTACTAATTTTTCTTTATTTTTAGGCTATAAGGATTAAATTTGTTCATCAAGAGTGTATAATAACTTTAAATTTTCTTACAGAGAAAATGTCAAACATACATGGGATTAAAAAGTATACGATAATGAACTCCCATATAGCCCTTACTCAGCTGCACCAGTTATCAATTCATGAGCTATCATGTTACCATTCCTGCATTTCCCCCCACCTCATTCCCCTTCTACCAAGTATTTTTGAAGCAAATCCATGGTATCACATTAATGGTATAAAATAATATTTAAAAATAGTTTTCCATCAGGTTATGATAACATGTAAATTCTGCCATAAATATCTTACAGTTACTTTTAATGGGAAATAGTCATTGAGTTTCCTTTGAGAAAACTTTTTCTTTTTGAATGTGGAGATTTTCTGAGAAGAGTTTTGGGCTTACATTTACATATATTTGAAGTTTCTTCAGTAGAGTTACTGAATATCATACAACATCTCTTTTGTGATTTATTTGTGTAAAGTGTCATAATTTACTTCGTGTAAAATTAGAATCTTTATTTTTGTACTTGGCAGATTTCTCACATAAATAGTATTTACCTTTATAGTTCTTAAAATCCAGTATTGACTAGAGAATTAATAAAATAGATCTTTGCTTTTTGAGTCACCTGGAATTTGCTTGTAAAGATGGTAACTAGCATTGCCTTCCAGGCCATTTTAAGTTCAAAATTGTAGAAGGATAAGAAGTGTTGGAATTTTTTGTTTCTCAAGAATACTGGTATCTGATCTTCTGAGTACTTACTGTTTCACCAATAACTAACCTCTTGTACTCAGTAGCAGGAAGCATTGGCAGGGTAAATCCAGTGGCATTGAAAGTTATTAGACAATTGGGAAATTAAATGAGTTAAAATGTAAAATGCCTATTGTCTCAAATTGCTTCGGCTGTCATAACAAAATGCCATAGACTGGGTGGCTTAAAGAACAGAAATTTATTTTCTCACAGTTCTGGAGTCTGAAAGTCTAAGGTCAGGATACCAGCATGGTCATGTTCTGGTGAGGGGTTTCCTGACTTGTAGATGGCTACCTTCTCACTGGGTCCTCACAGAGGAGACAGGGAGAGGGAGAGGGAGAAGAAAGGGAGAAAATAAAGAAATGAGGTGAGGGAGCAAGAGAATAAGAGGTGGGGGGTTAGTGGGGGCAGGGCGAGAGAGAGAGAGACTGAGTGAGTTCATGTTTCTTCTTACAAGGGCATTGATTCCACCATGAGGTCCTTAGACTTCATCTAAACCCGATTATCTCCCAAAGGTCCTGTCTCCAAATACTATCACATTGGGAGTCTCTGATAAGTTTTGGTGAGACACAGTTCAGTCTATAGCACCTACCACTAGTGGTCAGTAGATCATAATTCATATTCCCATTCATCATCCATACTCCTCACACCTTCCTTTCCTCTTATTTTTTAAGCCATTGACATTTGGGAGTGGTTCGGGGTAGGTTGAGCATGACCTACTTTATTCTAACTGATACAGTATCAAATAGGTATTCGGTTTTTCATTATATAATTGACTGTCTACAACCAGTTATTGAATTAGTCTAGTCTTTTCTCACTAATTTTGTGTCTGTCATGTATAACATTTTTATACATGGCTCTTTTGATTACTTGCTTTGGCTTTACCTATGCCAATATTATTGTCTCATTTATTATAATATAAGTTTTGATAGCTTATGGTCCCCATACACATTAATTATTGTTATGTCTTCTTGGAGAATTGACTCATTTATCATTATGGAGTGCCCCTCTTTATCCCTGGTTAATTTTCTTGCTCTGAAGTATGCCTTTCTTTGTTCCTTTCTTTCTAGAAGCGTCGCCCCAGTCTTCTCACATAATGATCTCCCTGTGTATATGTGTGTCTATATCCAAATTTCCTCCTTTCTATAAGGACACCAGTCATATTGGATTAGGGCCCTCCCTAATGACATCATTTTAACTTGATTACATTTGTAAAGACCCTATCTCCAACAAAGGTCATATGCTGAGGTACTAAGTGTTAGGACTTCAACATAGGAACTTTTGATGGATACAGTTCAACCTATAACTAGGATCAACAGTTGTGTCATTATTGGAAAACATTACTGCCATTTACTACCACCACAATCAAGATATAGAACAGTTCCATTGCCAGCCAAAATTCTATGCCTTTGTGGTGCACCTCTTCCTGTAAACCCAGCTCCTGGCACCGAGTGATCTGTTTCTGTCCCTGTTTGCCTTTTCTTGAATTTCATGTACATGGAATCAGAGTACATAGCTGTTTGAGTCTACCTTTTTTCACTTTTGCATAATACATAATGAATTGGAGAGGTAACTCTATTATTACACATATCAATACCTCATTTGATTTATAGTTGAGTGGTGTTCCATTGTATAAATATTGATATACTTCACTTCTTCATTTCCAGCTCAAGGATCATTTGGATTGTTACTAGTTTTGGTGATTATGAATTAAAGCCATTGTAAATGTTCATGTACAGTTTTTTATGGGAACGTAGGTTTTCATTTCACTTGGGTAAATACTTAGGAATGGAATTGCTGAGTTGTGTACTAAGTGTATATTTAACTTAATAAGAAACTGCCAAACCATTTTTCAAGTGGCTGTACTGTTTTGTATTCCTGTGAAGAATGTCCAAAAGTTTTAGTTGCTCTGTGTTCTCATTAGCATGTGGTGTTGTCTTGGGGTTTTTTGTTTTTATTTTTTGCCATTTTAATGGATACCTGTGATATCTCTTCGTGGTTTTAATTTGCATCTCCTTATAATGCCTAATATTGAGCATCTTTTTATTTGCTTATTGGTTACCTGTGTGTCTTCTTGGTGAAGGGTCTGTTCAATCTTTACCCATTTCTTTAAAGAAGTTGTTTCTTACTACTATGTTTTGAAAATCCTAGTATTTTAAAATTTTCCATTGTGGTTTTTATGTCTTCTTTGATCCCCGAATTATTTAAAAGTGTACTTTATTTCCATACTTAAGGAATTTTTTAAAATGTATTTAATTATTAATTAGTTGCAGGTAAATACAAACTTAATTTTTTAAGTTAATGATTTTTAGTAGTCTTTATGAATTTAATCTTAAATAGAATAAAATATTGAAATTTTAAAAAAATTATTTCTTTTTTAGAGAGAAGGGAAGGAAGGGAGAATGAAAGGGAGAGAAACATCCATGTGTGAGAGAAACATCTATTGGCTGCCTCTCATATTCCCCCACCTGGGGCCCTGGCCGGCAACCCAGGCATGTGCCCTGAACCGTAATTGATCTGGTGACTTTGGTTCACAGGCAGGTGCTCAATCCATTGAGCCACACTGACCAGGGCAATAGAATACTTAATGTAAACATGCTATTCATATGTTTTTGAGTCTTACAGCAGTCTGGGCTCATTACAAAATTCATTTGTGATGTATAAAGAACAGGAAGAAAAGCTTTACAAGAAAAGCTTGATGAGATGAATAATTGGTGTGACAATTTTAATGTCTTCAAATTTATAATGAAACAGACTTCTGATTCTGATCATATGGTAGAGCATTTCTGAAAAGAGAATGCACAAATTCTGGGTAAAGCTTTTTTTAAAAATACATTTTTCAATGTTTCAACAATTCTTTAAGAACAGACAGTGTAGCAGATGTTTATTTCAAAAGCATTTCCCAATCTCTGGTGACTCCACAGCTTGAGGCAAAAGGAGAGAAAATCTGGTATGGTAGTACAATGGGAAGCTAGCTCAGAGTAAATATCTGTTCTTCCAACCCCTGAACTACCATGTTTGTGATTGTTTTGTTTTATTTTCCTACCTACTTTGTGCTATTACAAGGTGCTCTAGGATCATCTTGTATATTTCCCTGTCATAGTATCAAACGTTTTTTCAGTGGGAGCCCTGGTTCCTTTTATTGGATTAAAGTATTAGAAATCAAGATCTGGGCATGACAATTGACTTTCTAACAATAACAGATACCACAAGACTGTGAAACATTATCTCACAGGGCTGAGAGAAATAGCAATCCCTACCTAGAATTGAATTGATCTTTCAAGTTTGAGGACAAAATAAAGGCATTTCCAGAAAAACAGAACTTGGGATTCCCCAACAACAAATCCTTCCAAAGGAATTTCTGAAGGATATTATCTTAGAAGGCAAATGATTCCTAAAGGAAGTTGATGATGCAAGATGGAATGGTTATCAAAATAGCACATTTGTGGATGAATCTAAATAAATATTTACTTAATAACAACAAAACAGTAATATATAATGGATTGAAAAAGTAAATTTAAAATCCTGGTAGCAATAACATATAAGTCAAGGTGTAGTTGTGTGTAATGAGAGGGCTAAGGCTCGTAGTGTTGTTCATGAGGAGGTTAAAGATGTGATTAACTTTAGACTTTATTTTATTAAATATGACTATTTAAATTTCTAGAGTAATCAGTAGAGATTAGAAATAGTTAGATAATTTCCAAATTATAGAAGTAAGATAGTGAAAATGAATAGAAATATATCAGTAATTCCAATAAGGTGAAATGGGTAATTGAAAGTCAACTCATAGACTGGTTAAAAAAAAACTCATGTGAAATGCTTTTTACAAGGGACATAATTTAAAGTTACAAGGACCACAATTGTTGAAAGTAAAAGGATTGAAAGATATAACAGTCAAATACTAACCTGAAGAAAGTTGGTGTTTCTGTATTACCATATTTATTCATGTATAATGCACACCCATATTTTGTGCCCATTATACATGGGATTATTATACCCATGGCATGTGATTATTATACCCATGTATAATGCACATACTTATCTTTCCCTAAAAAAATTGGGCAAAAAAATGCACATTATCCATAGCAAAATATGGCAATAACATCATTATATAAAATATATTTAAAAGTGAAACACATGAATGAATCATGTAGAAGGCTGTTCATAGTCTTCTTGGTAATGTCAAAATTCTAGAAACAACTCAAATGAGTACACTAGAATGGATA